AAATACTTGTTGCAAAATAAAATCCTTACATTTGCCTTAATAAAGTCCATCATAGGATGAAAGACTTCGGCTAAGATAAGTTTTCCTTTTGTCTTTATTCATAGTATTTTTTATAGATATATTTTTAGTTGTATCTGAATTTTCACACATAATATTTAATATAAATGCTATTTTATATGGCAACAGGTTCATGAAAATTTAAACCCTAAAAGTGTAAAAATTAATAAATACAGCATTCAATGCTCAAATAGGGCAGAGAGAGCAAGCTGAGGTCATTTTAAAATAATGCAACCACTCTAAAGCATTTGTACTTTTGCCTTTCATCCTTTCAGGCATCAAGTGCTAAGATATGATTTTCTTTCATCTTTCCACTTTAAGCAAGGCATTAAAGCCACTAAGACTCAAGCAATATGAAAAAAAGAAAAACATTGAAACAAGAACACCAAAAGAACAGAAGTTAATAGCTGACATTGCATTTAAACTTTTAAAGACCAAAGTTGACTGGAAAGCAAGCAGCCAGAAGAGAGTTCCACATGTGAGAAGTGTGAGATAAGAAACTGTTAGCAAGGGATTTATGGTTACATCTGGCCATTTCAACTCAGAAATGATGGGACCTAGATGCCAATTTAGTACTGTGCTTAAATTCATAAAGACAAGGTACCGAAAAGGAAAGCTCATCAGAACAATTACCATGAAAATATTTATAGAAAATGCACAGGAAAGCTACATTACAACAGTGGGGAAAAGTGACTGAAATTGAGATGCCAGGTCAGAACCAATAACATTGCAGATTCTTTTAGATTTTATCCAAAATCTCTAAATACATAGCAGAAGTGCCAGACCATATGTGGCAGCAATATTCAATGTATGGATCTATTGTATATATATATATATATATATATATATATATATATATATATATATATATATATATTTTTTTTTTTAAATTTGCTATATTTATAAAATAAGAGTGCTTAATACCAGGAATAGAGCATTTGTAGGTCTGGTGTATTAATAATGTAAAACATTACCCTTAAATAAAAATCTAACTCTCCTTTCCTTACATTGCATAATCTCCCATACCAAAGAGCTCTACATGATCTGGTGATGTAAGACAGCAGCTGGCAATCACCATGCTATGCCTATTTCTAAATCTGTTTATTTATACATACTTATATAACACACAAGTTATAACAGATCAAAAATGATGTTTAAGCAGCTTTGAACAATATGAGATTGATGGTTTTATTAAATTTGCTAAAACAAGAACTAAATTCACTGTCAATTTTTGTGTTTGTTAGCTATTATGCTGTGGCAAGTAGAGATAAAGTTTCATGAAAAAGTATTGAATACAACAGTTAAATAAGAAAAAGGTTCACAGATCTCTGTAAATAAACATGTATACATGAGTATCTGTTGCTATCAAACTAATATCCATGTTTATTATTTTAGTAAAAAGCCAACAGATGTAATTAAAAATGAGTTGCTTTGAACATCTTTCTTCTTTGCAATGAAATTCTAACCAGATGTCACATCTAACAGTGACTTGATAACATATAAGATGAACTGACTGAAAGTTAAATATTCATTGCTGCCCATTCTTCTACTATGTGCTGTGTCCTTTCAGGATGTGGGGATCGTGGATCTCCACAATTTCCTGTTCTTTGTAGCTAAAAACATTTCCTGTCCATTTTAATAAAAATTGTTGCTATCTCACCTAATCCCTGTTCTGCCAACTATTTACCCAAGTTTAATAAGTAGGTTATGCTGTCCCTTTTGCTTTTAATGGAGTGAGCAATGAAAGAAAGGTATCTTTCCAATTTTCATTTCCCCCATTATGAGCATTATGATATCTATGATATAATAACACAGATAGAATGAAATAGCTGAAAGAAAAGGAAGACAAAAATGCTTTGTTCTCAGAGTTTTATACTGCTAAGTCATGCACAAAATTATATACAAACATTTATGTTTGTATCACACAAAGAAACTATAACCCATGTATACAACAACAAGCAGTATGAAAATAGCAAAGATATATAGGATCTTACTAGTAATAATTCCCAATAGGAATTTGAACTGGTGGATAATTTTTCTATGTTTCTGGAGAAGCCATTTTTATATCTACCACCATGAATTCAAGCAGGCCAGATTTATCTTCTATGTCTCTGGCAATGACATATTTCCTAATGGGGAAACAGCAAGTCATATATCTTACTTATTATAAAACGCAGATTGTGCGTCTGTGTGTGTGTGTCTGTAATAATTGTTTTTGCACAAAATCAATTTGAAAACACGATTAAGAGACATCGTGAAAATGGAAGGGGGACAACTCACATCGGGTTCTTTGTATGTGTGGGTTCCTTTAAATATGGGAGCAGATTTCCTATATTTTTCAGCCGATAAAACAAAAATTCACTTTTTTTTTTTGGCATGTAGTGTTTCTTATTGTCTTGCACACTTTTTTCTTTATTTTTACATTCAGAATGCTTTAAAAATTCCATTTACAAGACAATTGTTTATAATAAAATTCTATTCAATCGGTAGAGACTCATAACGATTGAAAACAATGATTTTGTTTGAGTTTGGTTTTGACCAATTCATAAAAAAAAAAAAAACTAATTAAAACATGCATGTCCGTCAACCTTAAACAATAATCTAACGATCTCTACTGATTGTACGAATACAAACATCGGATAAATTCTTTATCTTTAGGGAAAGATAATGAAATCTAAACATACACAAGTCCTAACTAAAAATAATAACCGGAAAGTACTTTAAATACACATGGTGTCCAATTTTTTTACTGTATTCAATAAGTAAAAATCATAAATTGTAAAAGAGTATTATTACAGAAAGGCTACTAAATGAATAAGATTTGTTAGATCATAATTAATAAACCCAAATAAAGTTAATATTTTTTTGTATTAGAAACGACAAGTGGAAAATATATTCAAATCAGAATTCTAATTATGAATCACTACAAGCAAAATATGCAATTTTTTTTACTGTATTCAATAAGTAAAAATCATAAATTGTAAAACTAAAAGATTACAGAAAGGCTACCTACATTTTTCAACCGATTTCAACAAAACTTCACTTTTTTTGGCAGGTAGTGTTTCTTATTGTCTTGCACACTTTTTTCTTTATTTTTACATTCAGAATGCTTTAAAAATTCCATTTACAAGACAATTGTTTATAATAAAATTCTATGCAATCGGTAGAGACTCATAACGATTGAAAACAATGTTTTTGTTTGAGTTTGGGTTTGACCAATTCGTAAAAAAAAAAAAAAAATAATTAAAACATGCGTGTCCGTCAACCTTAAACAATAATCTTTGTCAATTTTATTTTTCAGTCTTTATGATGGTGGATACTAGATCTCTCTCTTACTGTTATATCCCCGGGCAACGCCGGGCTCTACTGCTAGTTCCTAATATAAAGCTTGTGAACCGGAGATAGTTTCTATATGTCTTTGGGGAGGATATATTTTTCCCAACAAGAAAACAGCACTATAGGCTTGGAAGTTGCCTCTTTGACAGGTCATCCGGGTAAGCTCTGCCTTTGCTAAAAAAGCAAACACTCAATTTGACACCTGGAAGCTAACTGATGACTGACCACTTTCATCACTCTATGACCTGATGTCACTAAGATTTGAACACAGATCTCATCTACATTATTGCTTTCAATTTGAAACTTCATCATATCTCACATGTTCAGTCCATGATATTCTCAGTATCCTTCTGTAGACCCACATTTCTGTTACATCAAGTTTTAAATCTCTCTCTCTTTCAAATAGGCAAATTATAATTTGATGATTCACTTCAACTAATATACATGTTTTGTGTTAACAGATGACACTATTACTTCAAAAAATCAAGTCATAATGTTTCATGACAATCCTACATTGTCAAGTCATAATATTTCATATCAAACCTACATTATCAAGTCATAATATTTTCATGTCAAACCTACATTATCAAGTCATAATATTTCATATCAAACCTACATTGTCAAGTCAATGTTTCATTAAAAAAAACTACATTATCAAGTCAATATAGGTTTTTCATGAAACATTATCAAGTCCTATGTTTCATGACAAAACTACATTTTCAAGCTCTAAGGTTTCATTTTCATGAAACCTTAGAACCTACATTAACAAGTTATTTTTCATTATAATCCTACATTGTCAAGTCATATTGTTTCATGTCAAACTTACATTATCGATAAAAAATTTTGTGACAATCCTAATTGTCAAGTCATAATTTTTCATGTCAAAACCACATTATCAAGTCATAAGGTTTCATATCAAACCTATTTCACTTCCAAAAATCTGACCAAAAACAATTTCTTTTTATTCTGTTCTTGATTAGGCCACGGATCTTTCAGCACCTCCTCACAATATTCATTTGATATAAACCTTAAAGGTAAGTTGTATTAAAAGTAACACGATGAGAACTATATTCTAAATAAAACTTTATAACAATTCCTTACCTGAGATTTTTAGGCATTGCTGATTCATAAGCAGTTAACTTTTTGCACTATCAAAAACAAAAGATTTGGAAAGGTATTTCCTATCAGTTCTAGAACAGTTGGATTTGAGAAGTCTAAATTCCTGAAAAAACTGTTTCAAAAGAAAAATTCTATAAAGTTCAACCAAGGGTAATACTAACAGTTCATTCAATAAATGCCAAATATTTCCTGTATTGAAATGCCTTTGTTGGATGTCATGCATGATACAGACACAGACAATCAGATAACATTTTACTTTATGATTGACTTGGCAGAATCCCAGCAGTAGGATGCTGTTATTTTATACAATAGACAGGTAGCCAACTAACACTATAGGACCCAGTCTGTCCTACCATTTGACCCATAACTGGGGAGAGAAGAGCTGGATTCATAGCTTTCCCAAGAGTATTTATAAGTGAATCTAATGAACTCAACTGGAATTCAAACTTAGCTCACATTCCTAGCCATTATCCATTACACATTCAAACTTACAACACCTGGTATTCCGAAGCTACCACCTATCCAGGTACTAACCAGGCTCAACATTGCTTAACTTTGGTGTTCAGACAAGAACCAGTTTTTTACAGTTTATCAACTCTTTCTGGGTTATTTAAAGCTGAAACATATTTTGGATTATAAGAATTTTTTTGTGAATGAATATTGCATTAACAATTTTTTTGAACAATAACTGATTTTTTACCAATACAAGTTCTACTATTTAACCCATGTAGAAGGAGATGGATTCTTTTCTCAAGGGTATTTGTGTATTAGTGAATGTAAGAAACCTGAGTGGAATTTGAACTCAGTTCTCCAAAGTCTTATCCTGTATCATTATCTATTACACCACCCACACTAATAAACAGTATGGTTCCATTGATTTTTATGTAATATAAATTTCTCTTCAGATATTAAATAGCTTGACCTGTGCTTTGTATCCTCGTGTAGACTTATTGCTTCCAATTTTTTAAAAATGACAACAGCTGTTGGGAATATATATTAACTTTTTATTGGATAACTGAATTTTTAAATCAATGATATTCCAATTGAGATTTGTAAATGTTTCTCTGATTAATGCAGAGATATTGAAATATTAAAACCATATAGCCATGATCACTCAAAAACAAAATATTTTTTTATAAAAGAATATATTGCTTCTGTCTTATATCAGCAAGCAGCCATAAAATTGGTTGCAGTGAAACTTGTAATCAATCAAGCTTCTTTACATCAAGATTAATTTCTTATTTATTGCTGTGAACATTATATTTAGGGAATTTAGTAGACATTCCTGTTTTTTAGACTGCTTGAGAATACCAGGTGCTGTATGTATGGATGTGGTGATGTAATGGATAATGGCTTGGAATTGTTAATTGGAGAACCTAGTTCAATTCCCATTAGGTTTATTATGTTCACTTACTCACAGATACCCTTTGGAAAGGTATGAATCCGTTTCTTCTGTACCCCAGCTATGGGATAATTAGTAAGACTTGTATCACTAAATCATTATTATCTAAAAAAAAAAATTCTTACAATTTAAAATATTTTCTGGCTTTAAACAACCAGCAAAGGGTTGATAATCCCTAAAATACAAATTAATCAATCAACCTATTTTATTTTTAAACAATAAATTTATATCTACCTACTTGTGCATTCAAGAGTCTTAATAAAGAAAACGTTTCTTCCAGCTGGATTTGAACCTGCATACTTTTTATAAGAGACAATACTTTCATAGTCAAACAAAAATCCATTTGATCCATTCAGATAACACCTGTGGTTTATCCACCAATGATGCTCAGCAAATCTAAGTTAGAGTTTTGGAGTAGAGTACATGTTTCGGTGTGGTCAACAGTTTTGAACAAAATCTGCATTATCTTCATAGGGGACCCCCCCTTAACCTTGACATGTTTTTAGACCCCACTCAACCACAGAAGATTTTTACAGTCAGGCAAAGTTCAGCTACTCAACTCAGGAGACATTTATGTTTGTTCAACACCCACAGAAACAATCTGTGTTTTATTCTGCAACTATGCTGAGCAGACCTTTGTTATTGTTTCTGGAAGAGAATGCCTAATCTGTTATGATCAGCAGTTTTAAACAAAGCCAGTACACTCAAACCCTCGGTCACAATGACCTGTGACTTCATGCAAGTACAACTATTGACAAATTTGGAACAGTTCTGTCTACCCAATTTCGCTCACAAGACTTGGGTCAACATATAGCATGGTTTCCAGCCACTTCTCAATGTTACTGCCTCCTGAATTCATTTCCCGAGGCTGATAATATCAATTGGGATTAATATAAATGTTTCCTTCTAGGAAGTAACTCAGAAATAACTTCATTTGCTTAAAGCATTGGTAAGGGAAGGCATCAGTCAGTCTTGGGAGATCATGGAGTCGACTTTGGTTTCAAGCTAAATTCCTGTTGTAGTTGCTTGCTCAGGCACATTTGTGTTTCTTCAACACGCACTGTGCCAACCTGCGGTTTATACTTCAAATATACTGAATGGACCTTAGTTATAGTTTCTGGGAGAAAGCACATAATCTAGCATTATCGGATGTTGAATAAGGCTAGTATGCTCAAAACCTTAGTCCCGATGATTTGAGATTTTGTGCTAGCACAATTTAGCAAAAACCATAGCATGGTTTTCAGACATTTCCTAATAGTACTACATGCTGTATTCATCTACCTGGGCTGATATGATGGTAGACTACAGGAGAGCAACATCCTGTGTCTAAAAAGGCTTTATATTTTCTATGGACATGAAATGGAGCAACTATATCAAATCAATTACTACGTCTGCTGCAAGGGAAGTTGGTTCACTGTGTTGTGCCAGAAATTTTTTCTCATCAGAATCCATCTTGCACATTTATAAATCTACCATTCGTTCATGTATTGAATACTGTCGCCATATCTGGTCTGGCAATACTGCCATACATCTCAAGATTCATGACAAAATTCAAAGAACGGTATGTAATGTAATTGATCCAGACCTGGTAACTCGACATCAGTTACTTTCTCACTGACATGATATGGCCTCTGTCTATCTTTTCTACAAATATTTTCAGGGCAACTATTTTGATGAGTTTTTTTATTTCCCGTGAGTGCCTCGGCTGCACGAATTTAGATTGGTAACTAGGTCTCACCATTTGGAACTAGGTAGATGTAATTGCCACATTTATTCTAACAGTTTCTTTTCTCGTAATTCTCACCTGTGGAACTCTCTTTTGATTTCTTGCTTTCCTGCTACCTACAATCTTCAAAAATTTAAATGCAATGTCAATCACCATCTTCTGTCTTCCTGAACCCTCTTCTTTATTGTCCTTTCTTCACTAAAGTATTTTCATTCTCTTTCACTTCCTGTAACTCTGGCATTATCACCTTGCTTGGGATGAAACGAGTAAAAAGAAATATTATCAAGATGTCAACTCCTTGATAAATCAACTATACTGATATTTGAACCCAGATCTCCTGCAGATTTATTGCTTTCAATTCTCAAGAAAGACAACAGGTGTTGAGAATATATATAAAATTTCTACTGGCTGACTAATTTCTAAATCAATGATATTCTGATTGAGAACAGCATTATTTGTAAATGTTTCTCTGATTAATAGCAAATTCACAGATATACTGAAATGTTACAGCCATATATTAATGATCAAACAAAAAATATCTTTTTAAAAATAATGCATGCTTTTCTATAGTAAACTCTAAGTAAAACAGCCATAACATCGGTAACATTGAAATATTACCGATGTTATGGCTGTTTTACTCAGAATGCCACTCATACACAAGGGGGAACAAGGAATGAAAGTGAAGGAGAAGATTGAGAATAGGGCAAATCAAAGGAAGGACAAAAGATGAACGGAATTCAAGAAGACAAAAGATGGTGATTGATGAACCTTTGAAGATTGTAGTTATCAGGGGAGCAAGTAAATAGAAGGGAGTTCCACAGGTGGGAAGTGCGAGAAAAAAAACTGTTGGAGTAGAAGTGGCAGTTGCATTAAAAGTTATCCTGCAACTATGCTGAGTGGGCCATAGCTACAGTTTCTTGGAGAGCATATAATCTAGCATGATCGGTTGTTGAACAAGTACTTTTATACTACTGATGATCACCAAAGTTACGCAAATTTGGAAATTGGTGGGCAAAGTTCAAATTCTAGTTGGGTTTGTTATTTTCACTTACACACAAATACCCTGAGGAAATGTATGAATTCACCTCTTCCCACCAGCTATGGGTTAATTAGTAGAAATTTTATCAGTAAATCATTATTATCTCCCAAAAATTCTTACAATCAAAAAATGTTTTCTGGTTTTAAATAACCTGCAAAAAGTTGATAAGCTGTAAAAAAAATTCATAAGAGTTGCAGTAGCTCATCTCAGAAATATAGACAGATGTTAAAGGATCAGTATGGACCCAATATACCAAAAATATGGAGACAATTAGAAAAGTTCACACAAATTCCTTCACTGATGTCCCCAAGGACACATGGCCCAGTAGATGAAAGTGTTGGTTGAAGCAATCCAGTGACTTGACCCAAAGAGTTGTGAGTTCAATACCTGGCCACAGCAGGAGTGAACAAAAAACTTGGAGAGTTGCTAAAGAAATAACTAAAACTGAGCTTTTTCAAAATGTGGAACTAGAACAATCTCCCCAAATTTTGGTTCATAATTTCAATGCATATCATCTGAAGAAGGCTGGAGTGTGCAATGTGAATACAGTAAGACAACAAAATAATATAAATAGTTACAATACTTCAGAGTCTGTCCGTTGCTTACAATACCGAGCAAAAGTCATAAGTGGCGACCCAGAGACGTTATATAAAGAATTGGTCAGTATAAGTAGTACCCTACAACGTAGCAACTACCCTGGGTACATGGCAGCAGCCCCCAAAATCTGGGATAGGCGGGTACAAAAGGAGGAGGACAACACTCAGAAAACAGTCTGCCTGCCTTATGTGAAGGGGTTATCAGAGAAAATACAAAGGATCTGCAGTCCATATAACATCAGGACAACCTTCAAAAGCTTGACGACACTTCGCAGATATCTCTCCCGAGTAAGACCCACCAGAGAGGAGAACATGACTAAAGACTGTGTGTACGCTATCCCGTGCAGCTGCGGAAAGGAATATAAAGGAGAGACAGGCCACCCCCTCAAGGTAAGGCTTCAAGAACACCAGAAAGCTGTAACACGAGGGGAAGTAGAAAAATCAGGCATGGCTGACCACATATGGAGAGAGAAGGGAGATCACCGCCCTCTGTGGGATCAGGTTGAGATCATAGACAAGGAACACCATTGGAAAATTTGTAAACTTAAGGAATCAGCACATATGCTAGGACACAAAAATCTTCTGAGCTGGCCAAGCATAGAAATAAATACAATATGGGAACCAGTAATAAGGAGTGCCAGAGAAAAGCAATGATAACAACAAAGTTGCAATATGAGCTCTGGTAAAAACATGCAATGATAACAGCAAAATTACAATATGAGCACTGGTAAAAAATGGTTGCTAAAGACATTAGGTTTATAATACCCAGAAATTCATACCTCAAGAACACATGACACAGTGGATAAAGGCATTGGTTAGAT